TTTTTGTCCTCCAATTCAACACAAATACAGTTAATAACTGAACGCTTGAAATGAGTTTCAAAAGTTTGTATTCAAAGGTAAACAAATGTTATTCAAACAAATGCTTACAATTGTGTTAAAAAACTTTATTTTATTGTTTCAGTTGTGGAGAAATAGTTATCACGTTTTCCGATCGGTGTCTCAAATCACTACAAAACCCGAGACCAGAATCAGTGATATTCTTCGTCGAGAGTTCCCGAAGGCGACCGAAATCGTGGTCAACGATATATCGGGCGGATGTGGCGCTATGTTTGAGATACACCTGAAGGCCGAAGAGTTCAATGGACTCAATACTGTTAAACAGCACATGAAAGTCAATGATGTAAGTTTTGCCCACAATCTGGTCTCTGTAGAGGGTTTTCATTTGTTGTCTCTATTTGTGATGATTAGGTGCTGAAGAATGAGATCAAAGACATGCATGGGATCCGTATTTATACCCAACCGGTGGTGCCATCGAAATGATTACTGTATTGAAAATCATTGCCTTTTCTTATATACATATTTTAGGTGAAAATCTTTTAGCTCTAGTTGTGAGGCATTCAGAAGTTTAGCATATTTTCTGCCTTTAAATGATTAAATATAAAATTCATAGATTTGTTAAGTAAATGGCTATAAATGTGTATAAATTATTATATTTATAGCCAAACGAGTGGATGAGGAAAACCATTGGTTTTATGGTTTTAATGTCATGTAATTAAATGATTCATATTTTTCATAATTAATTAAAATAAATCTAATATTGAAATATTAATAAAGAGATGGTTTAAAAAGTTTAATGCCTTGAAATTAATGTTGATTAAAAGTGGTAAAAGATATTGGTTTGTATTAAATGATTGACAATAAAGTCATTCATTAAAATAATTTATTTTATTTATCAAGTTGAAGAATAATCACGCTTATATTTAAATTACGGTACTAGCTAATTTGAGCAAGCACATATACAAACCATTCAACTTGGTATAACTAATTATATATACCGTATTGTTTAATGTAATGTATATTTAATTATTTTACGGATCTGTTATTTTAAAAGTAAATCCAAATTAAATGAACTAAAAATGAAAATTAGTGTCAAATTGTATTTCGTTTAACAAAAATTCCTATAATTTAATGGTTTTATTGAATAAATTCGTGAATTTAATATACAATCCCTTTATATGATTGCAAACAACATATGATTACAGACTTCTCGACTAGGGTGACCAACCGTCCCGGTTTGGCCGGGACAGTCCCTGTTTTGACCATTTTGTCCCGGCGGGGTTTTCACAGATACCATTGAGCGTCCCGGGGAAAATTCGATTTAACTAAAAAGTACCTGGGTTAGTGTCAAATTGTATTTCGTTTAACAAAAATTCCTATAATTTAATGGTTTTATTGAATAAATTCGTGAATTTAATATACAATCCCTTTATATGATTGCAAACAACATATGATTACAGACTTCTCGACATTGAAGTGAATATCACATCAAGTTTTTGGTGGCAATAATGTTGCGAAAGTCACTGCATTTGTTCCCAACAAGACTTTTAGCGGCCAATTGGCGTTTCGCGAGTCAATCGCAGCCAACAGTTAAACCACACGAAGAGCTGATCCCTACAAATGGCGACAAAAACGAGTCGACGTTAAGCGCCGGTTGTATCACATCCGACGGCAAAGTTGTGCCTCCGATGCCGTTGAATGAGATAATGGCTAAAGTGGTGAAGAATGACAAGACTATGGATCGGATTTGGGAAATGAATCAATTGTATGGCGTTTACAAACACCACAACCAGAACACTGATCCGGCGCTCGTCGCTCACCAGCCGCTCAACACCAAGATTGAGGTGATGTCAATGCATGGCTGGGACTTGTCGTGGATGGGCATCAAGAGGCGACTCAAACTCTGGATCAAATACCGCGAAGAGAATCGCCAACGCTTTTACGCCAATAGATTCGCCGATTTGGGTCTTAATTAATTTGCCATTAATTATATTCAATCCATTGAGTTGTTGTCATATGTATTAATGCTCGTCTTTGTATCGATGGTATGGTAGGTCCGGATCAGGCGATCGCACACTTCGCCGTTACCAGAGGAGGAAGGGCTCGCTTTAGGCACTCACCCGACAAATGGGCCACAAGTTTAAGTCATTTCCCCGACAAATACGACCCGAGATATCAGACAATTGCTCTCGATCTCTCCAGTATGTAGTGCTCTCTCACCACCCCTTCACACACCCGACCCCTACCCTCCCGTCCACTCACCTCTCGTTAACCGTTGACTAGATTTTGTATTTTAATTATTT